AGTGAAAACAATATAAGAAGCGTATATACTGATTTCTAGATTATATATGCTTCAATGGTATTTAACATGTTTTTTTTTGTGATTCGTGATCAGGAAATACTTGACTTTGTCAAAGACGTCATGAAGCAAAACTTAGCGAGCACTTGACACGCATTCGTAATAGCCACAAGATCTTATTAACAAATTTCAAATACTTTTTTATAACAATGACTCTTGATATTCGACCATGACATGTATTTTTCATAATGATTGTTGTTGTTGATATACTCACGTAGAAAAATTTTCGTGTGTATATACTGTATATGGATTTTTAAATTCATATGATTTTCTTTGTCATGGAGGTTTTAAAGTTATGTCCACTTTGAAAATTCAAAATAGGATACATAAAGCTACTTTGTTAAGAAATTTTATATAAAATGGCAAATAGATGATATAAAAATCGGAGAAGTCTAAGACGGTGAATATGAATAAAGAAAATAAGATGAAAAATAAAAGTTAGAAAAAGGAGGAGAAATGAAGACAACACCGAAATTTAAAAAAAAAAACCATAAGAAATAGAAGAAAAAACCAGAAATTAATGATTGAGATAAACTAAATGATAAAATCTTGTTATTAAATATTAAAATTACCATTTTCTAATTAAACTATCATCAAGTTAACACAACAATGATTACATTGTGTTGAATCACAATAAAAATTTATAAATCATATAAACAATTTAACATGAGATACACAAACACAATATATAACTAAGTGTCAACATAAATTCTTGTACGTCAAGCGAGCAATCATAAAATAACACATACCATAACATCACTTTACAAATTTAGAATAGTAAATTATAATTTTCATTCTTACAAAATACATTCCAATTTGCACCCAATAATTATAATATGATAGATACCTAACCATCAATACTACAAACTTACAATAGTAAATTATAATTTTCAATCTTACAAAATACATTTAAATCCGCACACGGTGCGGGAAATCATCTAGTTGCTAGTTATATTTGAGTAAAAGAATAATTATAAAAAACACAATAGTAGAATTAAGTGTGGTATGTTCAATTTATAATATTTTTTCATGCGACATACTATTTTTTGTTGGTCAATTCCTGCAACATACTATTAACCGTTGATATCTACTTGAAAGTAGGAAGTGTGCAAACAAAGGTGTGGCAGTTTCACCAGTTATACGAATAAACATCATGAAAACGACGA